GCTTTCAAGACCAAAGAGTAGCGTTGCGAGCTACGTGTCTGACACTAGTCATGTAGTAGATCTTTGACAAATCATCCGCAATGAGCGAAAATCTACCTAACTTTACTTGTATCTAGCCACGAGCGCTGCTCCTTTCGGACCAGGAATATGACTGGCGGCATTGTTCGGCTGAAGCTTATTTGATGATGAATCAACCGAGTGTTCAAAAAAAAAAAAAAAAAAAAAGCTATTGAGGATTCAATTTCCGTTTCTCTGGTTGAACCAAAGTATGCTTCCGGGGTTTCTACCGTCTCGAGCAAGTGGGCAAACTCTTTTGAGATAACAGTCCGGAAATTATTGCCATCAGTTAAAACCTTGCTTAATATCTTCCTAAATCCTTTGGGATCGGATTTGAATTGACGGAGACATGCCGAGCCAGGCTGATCTTGCTAAGTTTTTGACTAACCCTAGATCCATCCACCCGGATAAGTTATTACATTTTCCAAGCCAGTCTCGGCTTTGACATGGGGCAGACAGACGGGTTCCAGATCTGGGATAGAAATGAAACAGGGGATGAAAAACAAAACATGAAGATAAAAAAAAAAGTGAAAGAATAACCATCTCGAAAACTCCATTTTGGACAAACTGGTTGTAACTCCTGAACAAATGAGAGTCTGATATGTGATGCATGATTTGGGGGCGGCGACATGACTTGTATTCCTCAGGCACGAATATGCCAAACGGAAAGGATTAGCGCACATGCATGAAGTAGATCCTTTCCCGAGAAAGTCAGGCTTTGACAAGTTGACATCCACCGAACTCTTTACCAGTACCATGTACTGTAATCGTGTCACAGCCTAACTGCAATCTCCCAACAAGAAGAACCAATGGCTCGGGTCTGTCTGATGGGCTGCTTACCGATCGTCCTTTCCAGTGGAGCAGACTATGGACCTGTGAGTGGTGAACCAAATTGAACCCGCGCGCTAAGAATCCCACTTTCATAATTTCTTCTCCATCACAACTCCATTTTTCAGCTTTGCCTTCAAGAAATCCTCGTGGGCCTGGTCGCATCGTTCGATGAAATGAATTGGAACCTATATCGGGGCACCATCTCGCACATGTACTCCGTCCGTTACATCGAGCTTTGTAACCGGTTAACGTCTCGCTAGTGAAGTTATGTTACCTACTAAGATAAGAGTGACAAATGACCCATCCTTGGGTCCAGTCGGGTCCCTGTCATCTCATGCAACTCCTGTGGTTATTCTTTAAAATATGGACCTTAAAGTTCGGCTGATCCATCGATCAGGCAACCCGAAGTTTGGGGCTAAGAATCCCTCGTGGTGTGGCCTACCCATGGAGAATGGCCAATCTCAAACGAACTTTCTGATTAATGTTGTCATATTCGCACTCCGAAACCCTATGCAACAGCCCCCAGCACCCGAATGTTATCCGAGATTAATCAACACTTTTTTTTTTTTTTTTGCCATCTCTTGACGACGGCACGTCAACTTTTCCCCTCTTGCCCACACCACCCCCCCCCTAGGCGACGACCTGAGATGTCATATGCACGGGGCAATGGATCTTGCATATTAATAGGTAGTCACACCAATCATATTCAGCCACTACTTCTTCTCATCCGCATGAGCTGGTGATTTTAGGTGCCTGTGGTTTCCAGGTTTTCATGTCACACCTCCTTGGAGGGGCTGCACCTGATCTCGTGAAGTATTAGCAACCCAGAAATTGATCTAATTACAGAAATATGAAAATTGTTGCATTAAATCTCCGCCCCTTCTGAGCAAGGTACTACTCCTAAGTATTGAAAGGGGGATGAACTATATAGAGAAATTATAAAAGACATGAAGCCAGCCCCAAGTTAGAAATCTTCCACAAATAACAAGAAAAAAAAAATAAAATAAAATTAGAAAAAAGAGGCCCTTGTTTTAGGTTGAAAAAGATCTGACGAACAGTGATGGCAGCCAGATATCGACGTGGAACCAGGTTGAATACCCTCAATTGCAGCCCATCGCGAAAGGAAGAAGAAGTGGGGGTTTCACGAAGAACACCTCGGCGATCAGATCCCTGGCCTGGAAGTTGGTACATCCTGCATAGATGTCTTGTTAACAAGCCAAGACTGAATGAGAATCTTGGGTTTAGCTCTCTGTCAACCAACTCACACAGCCTTGCCCCCCTGTCGGGTTTGAACTCTGTTTGCCTGTCAGTGACACTGGTACCCAGTGTGATATCCCAACGAGTAGCCCGATCGAACATGCCCGTTATGAACTGCCTTGCAGCGGGAATGATGCGGCTGCGGCAGCCATTGCCGTCGGTGTTCACATCACCCTACATAATGGCTAACACAATTTGCCTAACGCACTCACTGTCTAGTGTAAGCTATGTTTTTGTGATCTCCATTACTCGCCCTCCGCGTCCTTGACACAACTAGCGATGCCTACCAGTGGATCCAACCCAGCGAGGGACAGCCGATCTCCTACCACTTCGATTTTTTTAGTTTTATTTTTAATTTTTTTTTTTTCCTTCAGTCTAATTTCTTTTTTGTCTTCTCTTCCTCCCTTTTCCTGGCCTCCTCCCTTCTTTTGTGCCTACGCTGGAATAATAGATTTTAATGGAGAATTGGTATACTGATTTTTCTTAGTTTTCTCTTTTCCAATTTCTTATTATTTTTTTCTGCACCCGCCCCACCAGCTTTCCTCCAGATTCTTCCTAGCCTTTGGATTTATTTTAGACTTTGCAGCCATTCCTGCTCCGGACCGCTGCTCTGTGACAAAGTTATTTGCTTCCTTACGCCTGCCGGTGGCACTGGGCTCCTACATAGTACCTAGGGGGCCATCCTGGATGTACGAATGTATATTCCTAGGGTTTACTATTAGGCCCTTCATGCTTGGTACGAGAGCCTAATATTCGCTTGGGATTAGCGAACCGCATATTTGTGATGGAACATTTTTCCGTCAATTCCTGTGCTTTTACCTGACTCAAATGGCATGGTCACATATTTTCTGCTGTCGTACGGTTCCCCCCCCTCTTCCACCCTGATCATAACGTTGGATGGTCATTTCAATACTCGGGTGGGTATAGCCTCAAGCACACCCAGTTTTGCGCCACTGGTGTGACCAATACTACAGTACTACTACGGAGTAAGTTACACATGCGTTGGGGGCACAATGTCATTCAGAGAGCACTTAACCCAAGTCGGTATAGCCGCTTAAAAGTGGACGCGGTGTTTCGAAAAACGAGAACTAAGACATTAGCTCGTTTCTGGAAGTCCGCTAGTCATGAACTCCTTAGGACAGTGGGATTGGAGTTTCAGCCATGCTCTGTGGCTTAGTGCGGCCCTAATTCTAGCGATGCTGTCATGTCGCGTTTTACTTACTACGAAAAGTTCATAAGGCTCTATAACCATGACGGTAATAAAACACCGAACGAGCTTTGTCAATACATAGGCCCTGGAGACATATCGTGATGCTACTTTTAAAGTTCAGGGTAGAGCAATACAGTAGCGACGAATTTCAGATTAGCAGTAGTTGAGGTATTCGATGTTAACCCATTCCAGGAAATAAGGCGGTAATAGATGAAAATCTCATACAAAACATACATACATACAAGCGGAGTACATATATACGGGATCCCCATGAAACTACTAGAGAGGCAGATGGACAGTTCTAGTTCCAAAGGAGACAGTTGACACCGTACTAGGTACAGTATTTATTGCTCTGAACTGTTCTTCTACAACGCCACCTACACCGTACACGATCGGATATTCTGGTGTATCTTTTCTATCCTGGATTCATTTTTCCTTCCTTTCTTTTCTTGGACCCAGTAAGACCCCCTTCTTTACGGGCCAGATTGGCTCCGTATTTCTGTTTCTATTTGGTATCTTCACCTGGATTGGTAAATCGCTTCCAGATCCCTCAGACCCATCTGTCAAGACAACCTTAAGAATGGGCTGACCTGATAGGGCCCGGCACAAATTGAATTAAATTAACTAATAGATGAATTATTCAATTTTGATAAATCGTAAAACTTTCTTTCGTCAATTAATTTTTCCTTGGGACGGGCCCCTCTTTCTAGTTTTCTCTTCTCTCTGAGTCTCTCAGCCTGCGCATGCCTTTGGATACCGACGGAGGGAGTGACGGTCGACGGTAGTTTGTGGCTCGTCTCCACTCCCACCCACGATCGTCACTTTGCTTGGATCCCTGCTCTTGCCTCTTTCCATGGATAGCATAGTCGATATGGAACTGCCTATAGGGGAGAGCGTGAGTGACTGGCGTACCAAAGATTTCATTTGATCTTTTATTATTTTGCCATTTTCACATTTATTTTTATTTTATCATTTTTGTGTACAACAGGTAGTCTTGCCGGACACTCAGAGAAAGCAGTGTGCATCATCAAAAACGGTAATGGAAGAAAAGAATTCAATGATTTCTTGAATCTTTCTGCTTGTTTTTATTTTTGTTTATTTGATTTGATTTTTCTTACTTTTGCAACTAAATTTTGTATCGGGTACATGATTCAGTTAACAGTTACTCCGTATTGAGGGAAACAAAGGGCGAGCCCAAGATAAAAAGGGCAAAAACGAAAAAGGAAGGGAAAAAATGGGGGAAGGAAAGGGAAATGGAAAAAGAATATCCGAGCAACAAATTTTTCTTTTTTTTTTTTCTTTTAGTTTTTAATTTATTTTTAATATTTATTTTTCGAAAAGAGAGATCTGATCCACTTAACCCAGATCCAATTGTTGAGCTTGCCTCCCTCCTTACCTTGCATAACCTTGGTTCAGCTGTCTCCATCGTCATCGTGTGCGGCAATGTCAAGCTACTCTTATTTCAGCTCTTGGTAAGTATAATTGTTATTATATTACTTATTCGCCCATGTCTCCTCTATTCCTCTTCAAATTCTTTCAAGGATTCCTATCAACATAAGGTTATCTTTTCCGCTCGTCATCTACATTCATCCTTCGTTCTTCTCTTTAATACCTTAAAATTCCCCTCCTTTACATTCTTCCATCACTCTGCCCGCAGTTTCCTTCATTCCTCAGAAACTATATCGCCCATTCCGTAACCACCCACACTATCGCATCTCTGATCTGAACGTCGTTATTCGCCGAATCCTTCCCCATAGCCTAATAACCCAATAATCCGGGTTATATATATATATCTCTCTCTCATCGGAGCCGCAGGCCGGCTATACTGTTGTGCTATCATTCCTATCTCCGAGCCTGGCCCTCGTGATTGTGCAGTAAAGTGAGGCTTTTGTCTATCTGTCCGCATACCGTGCCCTTACCACAGTTCCTTTCTATGTCCCAGCCCCGTGACTTGGGCAAGGGTTCTGAGAAAATGGCCATCTCGTATGCGAGTGGGCTTCCGGCCGATCATACTCAGGTCCTTCCCTCCTTCAGAGAGGTGAGTTCAGCAACTATACCACGTCCCAATCCGACGCATGTCTTACTAACGGGCCATTATTAGCTACTTCCCCCTCACCTTCACGATGAAATTGACTCGACTCCCTGTTTTAGTGCTCGGCAACATTCGCGCGAGCGTCCCGCATCAGCAAACCGTGATATGACTTCCAACCCCAGGCCTTTATCTGGAGACTTCGGCCACTTTCAGCCCCAGCTGGCGCGGAACACACCACAATACCCTTCCCGTGGCCCCAGCCCTATTCTGCCGCCTATCAGAGATCTCCAGCAGAGCTTGAATCCGTCTACTGCCCACTTCCCGGATGCCAGAGGGCTTTCGAGACCAGATCTCTTTGGAACTACCACACAGGAGCTTCGGGGGAGACCTGCTGGCACGCCCGGCTTCACTTCAGCCAATCGTCCTCGGCCAATGGGTGAGAGAGGTGGCGCAGATCCTTACAATGGACCGGCTGTCATGCATAACCAGATGGCTTATCCTTACCCAATGGCTTACCATAGCGATTCCGAGCAGACATCCCCGCAGGGATTATCGCATGCTCAACCTTCGAATTTTGGCATCCTGGGCGAGCCGATTGACTCCAAGAACAAACGTAGACGGGGGAACCTTCCCAAACCAGTCACTGATATCTTACGGGCCTGGTTTCATGAGCATTTAGACCACCCTTACCCTAGTGAGGAGGATAAGCAAATGTTTATGACCCGCACCGGGCTCACCATTAGCCAGGTAATTATATCTGGTACCTACGACTCATAACTGCCGGTACTAACGGAGTCCTATAGATCAGCAATTGGTTTATTAACGCGAGAAGGCGACAGCTACCTGCTCTTCGGAACCAGATGCGAACTGGTGGAAGTGATCTCGATTCCCAACGCCAATCCCCCTTTAGCGATGTGGACCATGCCTCCTCTGAATCTATGCCATCACCCAGCCAGCTAGCCTCGGCGAGGTGAGCAATCATGACTTCCTACAGCTGTTTTGCCTCTATGGACACAACCCTCGCTGAGCCCTATTCTACCTGGAAAACCTTGGCTAGTTAATGAGAGGGTTGACTGTTGCCTTCTTTCGTTGGAGCGCGGTCACAAGGCATATGCAGCACATCATGATTCATGGGACAGAGGTTGTCAAAGCCAAATAGACGTACGAGATCAGGTTGACGAATCTCCTTTTTCCGACTTTAATATTTTTATCGCTATCTCTATGACCCGAGTGAACATCGACAAGATCACCTTGATACCCTCTACCGTTTCACTAATCAGTTCCTACATTTTGCATGGAAGCAGTCCACAGTGGTATGAGCGTGCGCCTTGACGCTTGGAAATGATTCAAACCACTCAAGCCACTGGACTTCTCTTTTCCTAATTTTGAAGTTCCTACTATTACTTATATATGATTGATTGCATTCAAGGTGTTTGGATCGTTATCTTTTGAGTTCTTTAAGCTCTCTATATGGAACCTGGTTTTCTTTTCCTTTTATTTTTATTTTTTTTTTTATT